GAAGACTTGGTGTTGACGACATTCCCATCTTCCCCCCTCCTCTTCGTCTATCCCCTTCCTCCTCGTCTGTGCATGTTCTGGGGCGCCAGACCCATTCACACTATGAAACGATGATGATGATGTATGTTCAGGGCTGCATTACAACATTGATTGTTCGGATCACTGGTATCTAAGTCTTCCGCTGTGCTATCTTATACTTTGTATTGAAAGGTCGGTTCTTGTTCTGGTCTGCACCTATACGGTATGCAACACCCCCACTCCCAAAAATGGCCAAGTCAGGAGTAGCGTGGCAAGACCCTGAAACACATTTTCAAACTAAAACAGTGACACCGCCCTAGTTTTCCCTTTTTTTCAAAGAAAGAAAAAGGCTAATTCTTTTAAACCACTACCTCCAAGCCTGTTTTTACCGACCCTGAATTTCACTGTGCTCCGAGTTTTGCCGAGAAAAAAAAAAAAAAAAACAGAAGGAAAGTTGCGGCCGCGAAACTCACAAAACAAGAAAAGGAAAAACAAATCTTTGACCGTGATTGCAGTTGTATACATTCTTGTATTGTCATGATAGTATCACGGGAACCCCGTGGCAGCCACATCCGTGCTCAAGCCTCCAACGAGGGAACATGCGGGAACTGCACCCACCAGCAGGTGCGATACCTGATACAGCAGGTGGGCGATACCGGCCAGTGGTCAGCCGGTCGCATCAGGACCAAGCTTCTTCGATGGGCCAGTTGCTGCGCCGAGCCCCCTTTCTCAAAAGGTGAAATTGAAAAACCATAATGATATGGGGTAATCCAGCCCACATCCAAGTGGCGGAGGTACAGACGAAGAAGAGATCAGTCAGGGTACTCTCCTGGGTGGGCAGAGGCCCACTAAACAAGCTATGCATGGATCTATCCACAAGCCTGGAGCTGGTCCGCAAGCAGACAAGGCACCCCAAGATGGACCGTGTGTGATCTCATCATCTCACAGTCAAGCAAGATGATGGCACTTGCCACACCACAGTAGAAACCCGAGTGCATCTTCCTGCAAGAATGGCAAGATACATCCATTACTATGAATAGCAACGAATGCATCTTACCATTTTGCATTCCTTCTTTTTCAATTTCTACAGTGGTGTCTGAGGCCCTATACCTTGACGGGCAGAGGAAGCAAGACTCCAGCAGACGTCGTGGTGGGAAGATGCAAGCAGTAATGACAGAAGAAAGGTATGACAGGAGCAGGCAAACACTTCCCAATGGAGGAAATGGGGGGAATCCTAAGATGCATTACTTCTTTTTCATTTTCGACAGTGGTGTCTGAAGCCCTACACCTTTGACCGGTAGAGTAAACAAGACTCCAGCAGAAGTCGCAAGTGGGAAGATGGCAAGCAGTAATGACAGAAGACATGACAGGAGCAGGCAAACACTTGGAGGAAACGGGGGGAAACTACCTAACGGTTAACAACTACGCATTATGTGGTCACTGTGGTTGATGGTCACCCCCTCCGCGGTGTGCCTGGGTTCTCAGCAGAGGGATGGAGGTGGATCTACGTTGCAACTGGCCGTATGAGTCAACGAGGCACCGATGGTGGGAATGCCCTGCTTCAAAACGCGTGTGGAAATGGTGGGAGTATCACTGGGAACAAATGGGTGGGAAAGGAGGGAGCTGGAACAAACTCTGGGTTCTGCTGGGGCTCCTATCAGACAAAGACCAGGGAAAGAAGGGGTGGGGCTATCTAGCACACACAGTGATAGGCGTGATCTGTGAGGTCATCTGGACAGATCGCAATAGAGCCAGGTAGATCCAGGTTCCACAACAGACCTTTGTCAGACAAGGAGATCAAGCACTGCATCAAAAAGGGACTAAAGCAAGCCATCCGATGATCCGAGTGGACTGGAGTCCCAAAGCCAAATGTGGAAAAGGCAGCAAAGAACAACAGTTACTGTACTGGTTTCTGCGAACTTGGGCAAAACTGGACGAAGACTAGAAGCTTGTACAGATGTTTTTTTCGAAGCTAGAAGATTAAAAAAAAATCATCAGTTCGAAGCAGTACACAAAGAGAAGGGCTTTTCGCAGTGGATTTATGATTAGAGTAGGTAGGGTACCCTCTCTGCCCCTGTGAGGCAACTGGTCCGAAGAGGGCATCGCGGGCCAAGCAGCAGGAGAGTGACAATGACACAGACAAAAGGACAGAGTAAGTGGCAGAGAGACACCAAAGGACTGAAGAGACAAAGACGACACGACAAAAAAACACCGAGGGCCCCCCGACGACGGATCCACCGGAGCTGATCTCCATGGAGGACTTCAGGCGGGAGGCTCCTGCAAACCACACAAGGCTACTTCAGAATGCAGTGCATGCAACCACAGTCGAGTGTCAAAGACTGGGGCAGGCGGAAGGGAGACACGCCTGCTCACATGGACCACGCCCCAATCATACAAGAGGTAGCACCAGGCCCCAAGACTCAGATACACCGACGGAGCAGGGGGCCACACGTTGAGAAAAATGGAGAGGGAAAAAAAAAAAAAAAAAAAAAAAAAAAAAAAAAAAGAGTAGGTAGGGGAGTTATTGGTAGGTAGTAGTCTATTTGAACCAACCAGCCTGAGGGACTCGGTTGCTCAAATGGTCGTCTAGTGTAACAGGAGGCAATAAGGGGAGGATGGGTGGTAGAGTGTCCAGGTACTCCAGGAGCCTTCTGCTCCAGGGGGTCGTACTGGGCCAGGCTCAGGCCGACATAGGCCTGTGAATTAGGTAGATAAAGTAGCCTTAGTATAAGTCCATAGATCAGTGCGAGCAATCCTGAGAGTGCACATATAGGAGGTCATCTGGTTGAGGATTAGACGATCATAGTGAAGGAGACCAAATTAAGTAGAAATGTTAATGAAGTGCAGGAATGATTGCACTTCTTTTCTCTTTCTTTTTTTTTTTTTTTTTTTTTTTTTCCCAATTTGAAAGAGAAGAGATAATTTATTATATGCTGGGAACCGGACCCAGCGTAGTGTCGCGGTTGTTGAGCTGAGCAATCCACTTCAGGGACCAAGTCCCACTAGCAGCATTGAGTTTCCTCAAACCCTGAATCTGGATGTGTTTGTGGCTATGTGCAGTTCAGGAAACTCAATGCAATTTTTTTTTATTTTTATTTTTAAGTAATCTATATTCTTCTCTCAATCTATTTCTTTTTTTTTTTTTTTTTTTTGGAAAGTCTCAACATTTTTATTGCAAATCATAGCATTGAGGCCGGGGACCTCATTTATATTGCAAATCATAGACTAGTGAGAGGATGAGATAAATGCGTACTACCAAGAAAGATGAAATAGATTGAACTTTCCGGGTTCAATCTATTTCATCTTTCTTGGTAGTACGCATTTATCTCATACTCTCACTAGTCTATTTATAGTACGGGCGAACACCAACCAACCCGGATCTCTCCCCAGCCCACGGGGTAGGTTTGCACCACAGCAGTGGTGCGAGAGCAAGGCTGTACCAGTCCCTCATCACGGTGACGAGGGGTGGGCAGGCATTGCCGATGGGGGAAATCGGCGGTGCTAGTGCCGAGCAATGGCCAGTCACTGCCCCTCCCCCTACCCCCCCCCCAACCCCGCATGGCGGTGTCTAACGGCCAATATTGTCGCTGCATAGCAGCCAACAACATCAGCCAAGGTCCTGCCAATGCTGGCTTGAGGGGCCAACTCAACGCTGCTAGTGGGACTTGGCCCCTGCGCAATAAGGGGGGAAAGGGGAGATAGAGTGGTCGTGATGCACACTGCTTAATAACATGCGTCCCTGCGCTAGTGGACTTGGCCCCTGCGCTAGGGGGACTTGGCCCCTGCGTAATAACATGCGCCCTACGGTAGCCCGTATTCCGACTAATCTGGCAGAAGTAACGGCCACATACAGCCAGAGTGGTCGTGATGCACACTACCTGCCGTATTCCGACGAATCTGGCAGAAGTTACGGCCGCATACAGCCAGAGTGGTCGTGATGCACACTGCCTGCGCTCTACGATAGCCTGTATTCTGACGAATCTGGCAGAAGTTACGGCCGCATGCAGACAGAAAAAAAAACTGGCGAGCCCGGCCGACGGGAGGACACTACGGTAGCCGATCTGGGCGTGTTTGTGGACAAATGCAGACAGTGCCGGGGGAGGGGGAAACTGAAAAGCTGGCAGCACGGGACTGCCAGGGCGAGGTAAGGATTTGTAAGGATTTAGTGCGCGAACCCGGCCGTGTTTGTGGACAAGTGCAGACGGTTGGGGGAAAAAAAAAACTGAGAAAACCGTAGACCGACCAAACTAATACGGTACCGTCGATCTCAATCGAGAACGAACGGTCGGATAACGAAAGACACTCCTATATATGGAAAGCACAGTTACGACCGGACGCACGCCACAGTTCTCCCGCGACCGCCACCACGCTCCCTCACACGACTACCGGTCGGTCTCCAGTTGGCGACCGCAGCCCTATTTCTCGCGCAACGACGCCCTCTAAACCCACTTACCCGGAACACGACATTCCCCAAATGGAAACCGCCTGCTAAACGACAAAAGACATCGGTCTATACGCAGCCATCCTGGCTGCGAATTTTGTGCAGGCCTGGGACCTCACAATCGAACCCGGAGTTATCCCGGCAGCGCCAGCCGGGGCCAAGTCCCACTTACACTGATTCTTCATTTCTGGCCGTTGATCTTCGGAATCAGTTCACATGGATATAAAGAAAAGTACTACAACCGTCTTCCCCCAAACATAAGGCACCCTAAAAATGAATGCATACAAGCTGTATTGCCGGCCAGATACAGCCAAAATAAGGGTGTGTTGTGTTCGGGGGAAGACGGTAGGGTGAGAAGTTGAGAATTCGGGTAAGTGGGACTTGGCCCCGGGTTTAGCTTACCTTGTCCCCTGGGCCCAAGTCCCACTAGCAGCTTTGAGTTTCCTCAACCCCTGAATCTGGATGTGTTTGTGGAGATGTGCAGTAGCTCAGTTGGTAAGGCACAGAAGCAGCATTCAGGAGGTCCTGGGTTCAATCCCCATTGGCCTCACGTACGTGCCTGGGCAAGCGTGGTGTTCTACCAGCTAGAGATTCAGGTGTTTAGGAAACTCAACGCTGCTAGTGAGACTTGGCCCCAGGTCTCGTTTCGCCTGTGGTTGGAAGCAAGCCAAGTCAGACAGCCGCCGAGTGTTCAGAAGAGAACCAACCAGTTGTTGGGAAGGCCGCATACCCGCCGCTGATGTCACTCACTCGATTGGGTGAGGTAGGTAGTGGCATCTCACGAGATCTGAGGAGGGGACATTGCGCGAAACCTACTGTCGGATTGTACTCTCATCTTGACAGCGCTCCTTATCCTCGTCGGAGTCGTCGAAACTCCTATTTCGTTTAAAAAAAAAAAAAAAAAAAAAAAAAAACTCCTATTTCGTTTCGCATCCTTTTCGCCTCCTCCTCTCTGTCCTGCTTCTCCTCCCTTACCTCTTCCTCCTCTTCCTTTTCTCCTTCTCCACATTCTCATCCGCTTACTGCCATCTACCAGTACTTCGCGTTCTCGGGCTAACTTCTGCTCTACCTCTACCTCTACCTCCTCCTCCTCTTCCTCCCCCTTCTCTCGAATACTCACGTTTTGCCCGTTTTCCATCTTCGCTGAACTTCTCTTTTTCCTCCCCTCCTTCTCCTCCTCCTCCTTCTCCTCCTCCTCCTGTACTTCTCCTGCTGTCTGTAAACTTTTCCTCTTCTTCTCCTCCTCCTCCTCTCTCTCTCTCCTGCTCCTCCCCCTAGCTCTCGGCGCTTTCTTGCTCCCTTCTTCCTTCACCTCAGCTGATGGATCGCGAGTGCTATACACAAAGTGACTCTCGACCTTTCACTTGAAAGATCGTAGAAGCTTCCATTGCGGGGCTATGATGCTTTGCTGCTGACGTGTAAGCTTGTATGACTACCAAGGAGATGGGTGAATCCCGACTCCAACTGTGAATGCTGCATCGAAGATCGCATGCACTAGTTCCC